ATAGTTAACCCAAACCCAAAAATTATAAATCCTTAAAAATAATAAAAAAATTATAGAATCCATTATATATTCTTCTATGTAGAAGTAAATAGAATTGAACACAATATATATTTATATTAGTGCATAGTAAATTTGGCTATTTAATGAATTATAATTTTTTTTATATTAAAAATCCTTAAAAATAATAAAAAGTTATAGAATCCATTATGTATTATTCTATTATAATGGTACATTGGTCCATAATATATATTTACATTAGTGGATAGTAAATTTGGCTATTTAATGAATTATAATTTATTTTGTGCTATACATACTAATTTCCCTTTATATATTTATATTTCTAAAAAATCTAAAAACTAAAAGAGGAAAAAAAAAGTTTGCATTTGACTCAAAGGAAAAGTAAGGTTTGCTTTATTTATATCAGCCTCTGAATTTGAGGAACCAATTAATATCAGTTAACTTTTAATTTGAAATGTTAAATAAGATTCATCAAAATCTAGTGACTTCAATAAATCATTTTAAAATGAGGTTTTATACCACAAATGAAAAAATATTATACGGACTTTTCGATATTACCTAAAATTTTCAAAAAAATATAAAACATATTGTCATTGCGTTCGAGTTTTGAAGACACAAAACTAACTCGTACGAATAATCTCATCTCTTTTATTTCGCTTTAACAGTTAAGATAAAATCTTGTTTTACCTTTTACGATGACCAGATTTTTATTGCACTGGTTAGAGGGTCGTTTTTTGTTTCTTTTGCTTTTTTGCTTTTTTGCTTTGATTTAATCTTCTAGGATCATTTTCGGTGTTTTTGGTTGTTAGCTCTGGATTAGTTGCGACGTGGGTTCAAGATCAAGGCGGTCTCTTTATTTTTTTAGTTTCCGAGATGTCGAATCCATTAAAATTTGATGTGGTGAAGCGCGTGGATCTTCTGGTAGTGGTCGTTCTTATTTCGTGTCACGTCGTTCTGGTGATATAGTTGTGGGATCTCCGATTGGTGGTTGAGGCGACGTTTGGTGTAGTGCTTATAGAGGTTAGGTTTTCTCGATTATCTACGCTCTCAAGAGAGTGTTGCTTGAGGGCCACTTCAGATCTAAGGTGTGAGGTCTCCGATTGATGGTTGAGGCAACGTTTGATGCAGTGATTCTGGAGGTTGGGTTTTCTTGGTTATCTATGCTCTCAAGAAAGTGTGTTGCTTGAGGGCGACTTCAGATCTAAAGTGTGGGTTCTGAACTTCCTATAACCCTTTCTTCCAAGTTTCGTCCACCGTTTTGGTAGGGCTTCTTTCTTCTTATGGTTGCCGTTAACGTTTTGGTTTTTTCTTTATAACGACTACTGCGGTTTGAGGATTTTTTTGGTGGTGAATCTTAACTTTGTTGTGGCAAAGTTTCTTACTTTGTCTTGATTTTGTGTTCTTCTGGAGATTAAGACCAGTTTTGTTTCCAAGCTTGGTCGACTTACCTTCTTACTCCTACACTATGGGACTCTGAGTTTTGGACATTATGGAGTTTGGGTTTGGTTGATGATTTTGTTCTTAATTTTGCTACACTTTTAGTTGATGATGTGGTTTCTAGGGTTTGAGTTTTGCTAAGTCATGTCGTTTGGATTCACTTTTGTGATGTTATATCGATGTGGAGATATCTACTATCCTTTCTTGTTGCTTAGATGATAGGTATTGGTATTAAGACTGAAGAAGTGGTGTCAATTTTTAGCTATGCTCTTGCGAGTAGGTGGCTAGTGTTTAGTATGCACATGACTTTGGCTAATTTTCGAGCGTCCACGTGTTAAAAGGTCTTGATCTTCTTTGCGTTTTCTCTGTAAATGTCATGGATTTTGCCTTAAGCCTAGGCTTTCTCGAGTTCTCAGGATCTTCATTCTAGTTGCTCGGGTGTGGTTTTTGTGCTCTGGCTCTCTCCGTTCTAATTTCTTCTTCGTCCTCTCTACTACTGGTAGAATTGTATTTAGAGAAATCTCTGCTGCTTATCCTTCTAACTCTTGGTCTTTGGAGCAGTTTTGGCATCAAAAGTTTCTATGGGAAGTTGGTTGTTTTGTTGTGTTTCTGTAGATCGGTGTTTGGTTTAGTTCCTCTCCTTTTCGTTTAAAGGTTCTCTATATCTTTTGACGCTG